AGTCCAAAAAATCAACCATCTTTCACGCAACTGTTTTTTCGCGTCGGAGACACGCGTCCAGCCGATCCGGAAGTGGACGCGCTCACTTCCGGCGTCTGATGGACGTTGGTGCTGCTTCCTTCCCCTCCGCGCCGGCGATACGTATACTTCTACTTCCGCTTTTTTTCCTCTTCGTTTTCCCCCGTGGAGCCGATCTCTTCCTCGTGATCATTCTTCTTCGCGTTGGGGGCCAGAGGTATCCGGCGAGGTTGCATCCTCGCTTCCTGTCGGCAGGTCGACCGCCGATTTTGCGCCGAATCGTCGCCGCATCAGCGATCCCGCTCCGAGCGTTCCGAGAACACCGATTCGACACGATCTCAATTGTCTAACGACTTTGAGCTAGTATAGACAAAGTTTGACGTCCAAATAATACGCATTACATCTCTCCAGCTATAGATAACAGGGTAGGCAATTAGATATAAGGAGTATTCACTGGACGCCATATTTGCGGGTGTTGTCTAGAGCGCATGCTCAGAACGAGCCCATATTAATAGGTTGCTAAGACCGGCAATCTTGATGGCGCGGAACGCACGTTCCAAGAGAACCGTGGAAGCTCGCCATCTGCACGCGCTCAGCAGTCGCGCACACAGCTATGGCCGCCAGTGAATACTTCCTGCAGTAATACGTGATCCATACTCCGTTTGCCCCCGAAAGCTGACAGTATACGGTGGAAGCTACCGACTCGGTGAACCAGTGATACGCCTATCTGTCGTCACGTGATCACTCTTCCGCCTATATCCACGCGCAGAGTTTGGGGTCAGGTGATGAAAGAGAGGCGGCTGATTGGTTCGGCTTGTGTGACGTCATTCGTTGCCAACTTCGGGACCGCCTTCGATGTCTATGCGGTGGGCAAGTCGTCGGCTTTTTGAGCAGGACTTCCGGTGACGTCAGAACAACGCCGATCCCTTATAGGCTCCTTGCACATGACGTCATTTCCGATACCCTCCAGAGAAGAGGGGGAGAAGGAGCTCCCCTCTTATCAGGACCCTCCTTTGTGCCTTCCGGATTTGCACAGGCGTCGCTATTCTCCTCCCAGAAGATTATAGAAGATTAACCCGTCACTCAAAATTCTTACAAAAGCAGCTTCCCTCTCCTCCTTTTACTTGGTGTGCAAATGTGTGCGATGTGACGTCAATGCAAGGAGCCTATTGGCTCATCGAAGAAATAGTGGGTAGACCTTAAAGCATGTAGCATTGAGATCTACCCGCTATTTTTTTCTGTCAGCCAATAAGAGCTCGGCATCGCTCTGACGTCACCGCAGGCAACTCCTACGCAAGAAGCAGACGACTTGCTCACCGCATGGGCGAGATAGGACGCTGAATACACCATCGTGAACGCGCTCGTGGCATTGCACTGTAATCGCTCGTGCCTAATCAAATTGCGTATTTATTTATTTTTTTCTTTAGGGATGCTTACCGAATGTGTTTTTTGAAGGACAAACACAAATCTCCAAACACAGCCGTCTTTGAAGATTTGTGTTTGTCCTTCATCCCTCTTGTTCGTTCCCCTTCTCAAGGGATTATTTTCGTCATTCTTATCCAGCTCGCTTGCACCTTCGCATTCAATTGCATGATAATCTTAACCTTAAAATGCGAGCTTCACCCTTGTTGGTGTAAGACTGGTGGCGACTGATAAAACCCGTTTGCTTAACTGACGTCTAACCCCTAGTAAGCTCAGTTGGTAGAGCGCTCCACCTGTACGGGAGAGGTCCAGGGTTCGATACCCGGACCAGGCGGATCTTTTCGGTCGCTCACCAGTCACCTAGCTGTGCTTTCCGAATTCAATGTTGTTGCGTGCCTCGGCATGTAACTTTCCTGGAACTTTTTATTTGTGATAGATCCGTAGCTTTAGCCTTCGGCTATGGATTCGGATCAGGCACGTAGGCCCATAGAGCCCCCCCCCCCCCCCCCCCCCCCCCAAATCTTCCATTTTGCTGGGGCGTCCTCTTCCCCCCTCCCTTCTCCCTCCCTCCGAAACAAACTGCTGGCTACGTGCCTGATTCGGATCCTGTGTATATTCGCGCAACAATTTAGTTCGAACATAATATATAGTCAGCAACCACTCTAGTTGCGGACAGCCGCCTTAGAAAAAATGTAGGGAGTGACTGGTTGCGCTCTCGCTTCTCGCTTCGTGGCCAGATCTTCGGCCTCCTTGTCGGCTAAATGTCATTGGCTGTGGATTAGCTGCGGATTGTCCACGGACTGATGATAAGATATGCCCGGGACATGGCCACGCCCCGCGCTTCTGAATCTCTCAGTCGCTGTGTAAACACCAAATCAACTCCCTGACTTCTCGCTACTGCCGTACTGCACATGTTTAGATGATTCGCCTCACTCGAATCTGCATGTGTGGGAAAACCTGCGCTTGTTTGCAACCAGCCTGTTGGTGTATATATATGTATATATAGGTATATACTCGCGTCGTTTGGTGTAATACGCGAAATTATCCCTTGTATATGTGGCAGGCATTGGTCTTGTTGGCTGTCACACATAGCGAGCCTTCCACTTTTGCGCTCGAAACTTTCTTCTTCTTTTGTCTTGTTATTTATCGAGCAGTTTCCTTTGCTCGCAGCGATTGATTCCTTGAGTGCAGCGCAGAAAACTACATACAGACACACAAAAAAAATGATGAACCACAGAATGAGAGTACCATATTTTCCGAACCACGGTGCGCGGACCTCACATGTTTAAAAGTTGCAATTTTACCAGGTGCGGACTATCTAAAAGTGCACACTGTACAAGGATTTTTTTTTCTTAGTCGTTCACTGTGACAAGACGTGAAGCGTTTTATGAATGACAGAGACGTATTGAATGTTGATTCATGTACGATACCCGCTTCTTCGTGACCTGATACAGCCGGCATTCGTCAAGAAGTGCTGCGTATCACTACGCGTGTATCACTATATACTGCGTGATGCACGTTAAGGACTCCAGGCGAGCAATGCTACCGCACTGACTACACTTCCCATCTACAGTGTATATAGATGCAACGAAATTCCTCCTTTCAGACCCACGGCCACAACCGTGCGCGCGCATAGCTTTCGTTGTGGCACATTGCAAATCGGTGCATTTTTTTTTTGTTCATTTTAGTTTCGGTTCGCAGTTTCTAACAGCTGTGTGCGCGACGTGAGCTATTGCGAGTCATGCAAATCTCTCTCGCTTCCCGTATACGTGCGTGCAGCTGTTTCGAAAACGGCGGCGCTGTTTGTGTGGGCGCCGCGTTTCATGCCCCCCGCTCTATACCTTGTCCATCAACGTCACCGTGCCGCGGCACACATTGGCGCGCGGGAGCAATCGCTCGTTCCGCTTCCGTCATGGGAAAAGTGGCGACCTTGAATTGACCTTCGGCGCTTCCGGTTAATGGCGCAGAAAACAATAATAAAAACACACACACACACGATGAGACCGAAGAAAAAACTCCCAACTTCACTAATACGAAACTCTGGCGCCGTATTACTGATTGGGATTTTACTAGTCGTGTAATCGTTTGGGGGGGGCCAAAAAGGAAAAAAGGGCAGAAAGTCGAAAGCCTGCTTTTCGGTGCGAGATTTTGAGAATCAAGAGCACCATTCGGTATCACTTTTTTATTTTCCTTCGGAAGCTGCTCGCTTTTTTACTGCGATACATCCGCGACGGCCAAAACACGTCGGCCGACTCCAGGTCACGTTTTGGGAGCTCGTCAGCGATCAGTTCGTCGAAGAATATTTGAATATCACGCTCGTGGCCCCCAAAAGAGCGCCGCGTCCACGCATATCCTTTTGAGGATGACAAGTTTCACGGTGTGCTTGGAAAAAAACACGGCGGAAACTAGGGGTCGTCGCATTCGGGGGAAACATCTACGTCCCGACCACGTGCTTTCTCATTTCCCTCTCGAGTTGTGCAGGAAGAAAACCAGGAAGGAAGAAGTCGAAAAAATAATTTCCCGGCTCCTTTAAAACACACCGCACGTTTACGTTCTCATATTCTATGGCGTCGCACTTAATCACTAGGATTATGATACATGATGTTTCTTTCTTTCTTTTTTTCATTTAAGTTTTTTTTTTACTCATACAGTTGAACTTACTGCAAAGGGAATGAACATTTTTAACTTGCAAATTTACATAGACTTTACAGTGTAAGATTGCGTCGCCAGAGATAGTTTACTCTGTGTTCCGCAAAAAAAACACAAAAACTAAACCTTTTTTTTTTTTTTAGGAGCGAGGGGCGGAGAGGCAGACAGAGACATGTAGAGGATGGCTTCACAGATGAATCATAGATACGCGCATAACGCAGTGTGTTAGCGGCCGACAAACGCGTCCCAAGATAGCAAGCAAGCACTCACGTACCTGAAGACATCAAAAGCTGAACTAGACAAACTCCGCGAGCCGTAACTATCGTGCGTCTGAGAATAAAAAAAAAAAAAAAAAGGAAAGGCGCGCTGTTAAAATTAAGTGCTCATGACAGACGGCGAGTAAGCTACCGTCGCTTCAAGTGCATCGCAGGTATACGACGATAAGTTCTCTCAGTAACGAGGCGAAAGCCCCAACAAAAACAAGACCTGTGATTGCGATATGAAAACGCTTACTTCAAGACCATGGATGGTCTGAAAAAGAAAAAAGGCATCTCACGAAAAAACAAAAACAAAAAAAGACCGATGCATCAATGAGAGAGAGAGAGAAGGTTTCAGTAAGAAAAGGAGAGAGCGCTATAGAAACGCTCAATTTCCCGTTATGCCGGACCGCAATGAACGCTGCGAGCCATCTGAGCCAACCCACAGCAAGGAGGATGTCAGGTGAGCTTCTAATATGGCGGGTGGTGGGGGGCGTAAGATCACGTGACACCCACCGAGCCAGGGATTGGCTCCGGTGGCTCTTAGCGTTCGTTGCGGTCCATCGCGAGCAAAGATACGAGTCGAGAAAGAGAAATAAGAGTGGGAGAGAGTTCGATAAAAGGAAAAAGGCCTCCTCGCTCCCGCATGTCCTTCTCTCCCATTTCGCCCAGTTCTGAGCAGCAGCGCTCATCGAGCGGCGCTTTCCCAAGCCGACGCAGTCGGTGGGACTTGCAACTTGGTGTCGGTTACGACTCGCCGCCCGTCCGCGCTCGACTCGTCCAAGTCGCCGTGCAAGTTGTTTTTTGTGTGTTTTTTTTCTCTTGTGCGCCAATCTGTGAACCAACAGCTGTGTCTTCTTCGAGCAGTGCCGACGATCCGTCTGCCACCGAACGTCGTCGAGTGTTCGTGTGCGTTAAGAAACAAACAAAAGAGCTGCGTTCACATAGCAGAGACAGCGGGCGACACGCCGACCGTAAGGAAAACACGAGACACGCCGCTGCCATGTTGCCCTGAAGTCGCGTCGTCTGCTATCAGCGTGCTGGTGTGCCGCGCGTCGTCTGCTAGCGCCTCGCGTACGTTCAGGCCGGTAAGTTCCCTTTTTGAAAAATAAATATAAACAACGTCTAAACGGAAGAGGGACAAAAATGAAACACAAAAAAAAGTAACCGGTTTCAGAAAGAACCGGTTTATTTTTTAGATTTTTTTTTTCTTTCCGTTTCGACCACGTTTGTTTTGCGATGAAAACATACACGTGCGGTTGTTTGTTTTGCGATGGAAACATGCACGCAGGACTGAAAAATCCCAGCGTGAGCGTGTACTGTAGCGACGAAGCGATGGTCATATCATAACCGTGGCTCATGGCGTAAAATGTGGTCCCCGCCAATATCCTTTTGAAGAAATATTAGCGGATGAGCGCAAGTCTCGTAACCGCGCTAACGGTGAACACCAGTGAGTACAGCCACAGGCATATACGTCAGCACCACCAGTTTCGGAAATTCATTGTAGGAATCGATGCACATATTTTTTTTTTCCCAATTCCAGTTAGGAGATGCGCAGTCCGCCGGTAATTCTGGTTAGCGACCTGCAAAATGCTGTCGTGCTCATTGGCTCTTGACGAACTGCGGATAGTAGAGGCACGGTTAATTGGGTGAACGCGCGTAGGTAATCGGAAGAAAAACACATAATAATGCGCCAATCAGAGCCTTCCATTGTAAGGTAATAGGCTGGCGTAGTTCCTATGGCAACACCTCCTCCTGTACGTAGTGTAAAGCGCGCGATTCATTTGGGTTACAGGAGGAGCCCTGGCAAGCAACAGTGTAACTTGCTTGTCAGGGAACTGTCGGCCAAGTCCTTGGTTCGAGTTGTCAAGGTCTTCATGTTTTCGTCGCGTTGCCTAACTTTCATTCGTATAAGCGTCCAATATTCAATCCATTAACTTAAAAAGAGGAAAAGCGGGAAGAAGACAGGAACCGTTACTACGCTTTGTGCATTGAATGCGGCTGACGTTCGACTGGTTCAGTAGCCCGTGCAAACGCTCTCGTGGGCCACAATAGAGAGTTTTAGTAGATTGTGTTTTCAGGCCACGATAATCGTAGCGGGAGCTCGCGCTGCCACTTTGATGCATGCTCTGAAGCGCGCGCTCGTAGCGGTAGCGGACCTTTGAAAGCGATCTACTAAAACTCCCTAATGATTCATTCCACTTCATACTTTGAGTCCCAAGTGAGCTGTCTTAGAGCGTTTTCCGGAGTTCGATGATCGCCGTCTCTGTTGGCGAGTATACAACAGTAGCCGTGGGTACAGTTTTTGAAGCCTAAGCACGGTACCTTTGGAATTTTATATAAGCATATACTCGATTTCACACATAGTCTACTCGCTGTCAAAGTCATCACATCGAGCGTGTGACTTCATGCAGCGTATCATCCGAGCCTGCGCCGATACATTACTCGGTAAAGTCACGGACTCGCGTCACGGTAGCTTTTACAGCATTGTACTACAGATTGTATCAACCTTCCAGCGAGGAAAGCATCAAACGAAACAAAAAATCCTAGACACACACGAAATCGACAATCCGTTATGGGGTTATGTCAAGAGTGCTCAATGGACACATTGAAAGTGTTAAAAATTATGTCCACACAAAGTGGAGTGGTGTGACTACACCATTTGTGAAAAGTGGTAAGCTATTACATCGTCAGCGTACATAAAAACACACTAAACCTAAAGTAGCAAAAGCAAAATAATGAACGTGCCTCGTTGAGGAGCTGAACAGATTTGATGGCGCCGTTTACAGCCTTGTATGAAAATACGACGTCTTCAAGGGCAGTTCTTTCGTTAGATAAAAGTACAAACGAAATTTTTTCTAGTTGCATAGTTGTGATAAACTATATAGGATCATTCCATGTCAAAGGAGACGCGGCAATATGTTTCATATCTGGGGGATGTACGAAAAGAAATAATTTGCCCATAAAGAATCCTCAAATCTCTAAAAAAAAATTTTTTTTTCTGAAAAATAAATTTATTATGCTGTGAATTCCTGGAATGTGCATGAACCCCATCTGGTTAAGAAAAAAAAAAAAAAAAAAAAAACGTTGTGATAAAACAGTTGCGTACTACAGGAATTTAGGTGCACGCCTAATTACCTAATAAAATTTTCTATCTTACACTAAAAGACAAACATTGAAAGACTCCATTTCGAGTTCATATAGGCAGCTCCAACAAAAAGAGACTTTATCAGATATATTTATTTATTTAATCAACTTGGTTTTGACTGTTAGCTACAATACTTTCTTTCCTTTCTTCTCTTAAAACTAATAATAGAATGACTCACATTAAATATTTAAAGCCTCGTTTTGCTACGTTTTCATTCAATGATAAAATCTACAGTTCATGCAGAAACGGTCATATATGAGAGCCAGAAAAACCGATCTGCCTGCACTTTCCGAAAAAGCCAAAAATGTAGTCCACCCCATCACTTCAGCATATAAACAAATTGAAAAAAAAAAAAAAAAAACACTTTTCGTTCTTGCTGGGAATTTATTTTTTAAAAGATGAGCCTCTCGGACCATGCCTCGCAGGCGACGGACGCTGGCGTGAGCCAGCGAGGCGTCAAAAAGGTGCGAGACGCCCCAGCAAGGTCTTCAACGCTCTCCTGAAAACGCGCTTTATTCAGTTACAGTGGACGTTACCCTGACCCGCATGCAACCGTACCCTCTTTACGTTACGTAATGATACTGGCGTCTTCATTTTATTCTGCTTCTGCCCAGGGAACTGCGGACGAACGCAGGCCTGGATCGTCTGCTTCCCGAGTTTTGGGAATGCGTACTGCGCGTCGGTCTCGTCTGTCGTATGCCCAGATTAAAAAAAAGAAAAAAAAAAGACCGGATAGTTGCTTAATGATGCGAAACGGTAACGGCGATGTCGCTTCTCCATTGAACTTTTATGAAAATAAACAAAAAAGGTATTGTAGCTAACGCACAAGTCCAAGTTGACTAAACGAAATAAAGTAATCTGGTAAACGTTTTCGAGCTCCTATTTGGACTCAAATGACGTCTTTCCATGTTTCTATTTTATTGTAAGACAGGGCATGTTATTAAGTAACTAGGCCCTCCCTTAAACTTGCGTCGTACGCCACCGTTTCTTCATATTGTTTTTTTTTTTTCCTTAACAACGCCGGTTTTATGTAAATTCCAGAACTTTAGAACATGATATCAACAAAAATAAACTTTATTTTCCAGAAGAAAAAAAAAATCCTTTGACTTCAGAGGTTTATTTATCCAAATTCATTTTTTTCCCCTACATATCGCAGAGATGAAAAAAATTGCTGCTCTTTGCGAGAAGCAAAACTGAGGTATACGGGCTAAACAGGAAGTCGATATAACGCTAAATCCAGGCAAGATTTCTACAAAGGTCTTGACGGGTTAAAGTCAGGTTTTGGTTGAACACACACGGTCAGCATATCTAAGACAGGTATACGAACCCTAGGTGCACGAAAACAAAACCCGTATATCCTCTTGTTCCCAGTACGTCACTGAAGATCGGCACGTGTGCATACTCAACAGCAAAAGACGACGCGACTTCTACACGGAGTTCTGCCAAGATTCCCAGGTTTCGACAAGGCACAAATGAAAATCGAAGAGAGCAGGCGTGTCACGGTAGCGGCATCACGGGGCGTTTGCATGATACGCGACCATCCACGCAGATCTAATAACCCCTCCAGCGAAGAATGGTTCATCGCGCGCCCTCTAGTGCCAATCGATCGCTTCGCAACCCGCATTCGCTGCTGTAGGGGTCAGCGGAGGTGAAGCGAGAGTCAATTGGGACATCGTGAAGCCAAGAAGGTCACATGTTCGATGCAAACCAAAGCCCATTGAGCACACTGTTGACACATATCGTACAGAATGCAGTTTGCAGACAATGTCCGAAGTTTGGCCCCAGATAACGGTGTCACCAATGTCTGCGAAGAACACCATATGTATTTTGTATGATGTAATAGGAGCAGTGTGCTGCGGCTCAAAATAAATTGATTCACACGTTCGCGCTTGAAAGTGATCGACTGCGCTGCAACCGCGCTTCTTACTGAGTCGTATGCATACGCAGTTCTGAGCGGTGGCGCCGCAGTCGGTTACTAGCGCCATCCATCGGATTGCTCCTGAAACTCGCGATCTGCGTATATCTACCAATTTTCATGCATCATTATTTCACCGTATAAGCTCGAAATAATTCTGGAAATGATATAAATGAATATTTGTCAGAAACAGCGCGTAAATTTGATTCGGGAAGTTAAGCCCCTGGTCTCACTATATATGAAAGCTTCCGGAGCTACCTGTGTTCACCCTTAAAGAAAAGCTAAAGAGGCGTTTGAAAAAAAAAAAAAAGAGTTTGAGGTTTAATTCGTTAATTCTAGAGTATTCTTATCCCGTGAATCTGAATATCACGCTCGTTTTTTCCGAAGATGCAACTAAACGCGAGAAAACACGAAAAAAAACCCGACCAGTCGTTACGTCATAAAAGGATCTTTTGCAAGCTTGCCAGGTATATTTCCCCGCACTGAAACCACTCCTGACGTCTCTTTTTGACCTTTCTGGAAAATAGCGAGAGTTCGCCTGCATACCTTTGATAGGCGCTACAGATGCGCTAGAGCGGAGATTCCTAAAACTCCTAATATGACGTCACGCTCCGGGAAGGAGGGGCTTCAGCGGTACTTCGAAAATGATTTTCTGCAGCCTCCTTGCACCAAATTAAAAAAAAAAAAGCTCTATATTTGTGATCTTGAAGACCAAATGAAGATGATTTAAGTGTTTTTACTCAAATACATAGATTGCGTGAGACGTCATTCGCGGCCATGCCAGTATTTTATGCTCCGCGAGCATTCGGTTCGCAGTGGTAGTTTCACGCCGCAGGAGTTGTAGTTCGAAGAAACCAGCAAGCAGAAATAACCGTCAAGTGCCCAGCAATGGCGACACTTGCAAGCTATGTATAGGGAGTATTCACTAGACGTCATATTTGGGGGTGCTGTTTAGAGCGCATGCTCAGAACGAGCCCATATTAATAGGTTGCTAAGACCGGCAATCTTGATGGCGCGGAATGCAC